AAACCATAGGACACACAGAAGAAACCACAGATTAATCACTATGACATAGACTTCATATATGCCTTTGGGGACTCAACTTCAGTGGTGAAAAAAACATGCAAAATGAAACAAATGGGGCTACAGCAAACTAAAAAGCCTCTGTATAATGAAAGAAACTATCATGACAATAAAAATACACCCTACTGAGTAGAAGAAAATATTTGCACATCATACATCTGAGAAGTGGCTAATAACCAAGACAAAGAAAGAAGTCATACACTGAGCAAAATTGAAAACAAGGAACCCAATTTAAAAAAAAAAAAAAAGTGCACCAGAGCTAAATAGAAACATTTCCAAAGAAGAAATATAGACGGCAGATAGGCTCAGGGAAAAAATGTTCAATATCACTTTTCAGGGAAATGCCAATCAGAACCATAATGTGATGCCATCTTACTCCAGCATAAAACAATCTTATAAGGAAGAAGACAGAAACAAGTGTTGGCAAGGGAATTGAAAAAAAGAAACTTGTCCACTGTTGGTATATAGACTGGTCAAGCCCTTATGGAAACATTATGGAGGTTCCTCAAAATATTGAAAATAGATCTACCATGTAATACAGTAATTTCATTCTTAGGTCCACCTGAAGAATATAAAATCACTAATTCACAGGGATCTAAACACTTCTATGTTTATTGCAGAACTATTTATAATAGCTGAGTTAATTGAACCAATCTAAATGCCCAGTGACTGAGTAGTAGATTAGACTGTGGTATACACCTCAAACCTGCGAAAATGATCCATATTAAAAAAAATAATAATAAAGCAAAAACTAGAAACAACAAATGCTGTTGAGACATACATTCATGATAAAAGCCCTAGAAATTCTTGGGATACAAGGAACATACCTCAACATCATAAAGGCCATATATGCAAGCCAACAGCCAGTATCCTTCTCAATGGTGAAAAGCTGAAAGCATTCCCATTAAAATCTGGGACAAGACAAGGATGTCCACTCTCACCACTGCTTTTCAATATAATACTGGAAGTCCTAGCCAGAGCAATAAGACAAGAGAAAGACATACAAGGAATCCAAATAGGAAAAGAAGAAGTCAAACTATCACTATTTACAGATGATAAGATAATATACATAAAGAACCCCAAAAACTCCACAGAAAAACTAATTCAACTAATCAATCAGTTCAGTAAAGTGGCAAGATACAAAATCAACATGTAAAAATCAGTAACCTTCCTATACACCGACCATAAATCTGAAGAAGAAGAAATAAAAAAAAAAGCCCTTTTACTATTAAAACAAAAAAAAAATCAAATACTTGGGGATAAATCTAGCAAAAGAGGTAAAGGACCTATACAAAGAAAACTATAAAACACTGTTAAAAGAAATAGAAGAAGACACAAAGAAATGGAAAGACAGCCCCTGATAATGAATTGGAAGAATAAACATTATTAAAATGGCCATCCTACCAAAAGCAATATACAGATTCAATGCTATTCCAATAAAAATTTCAATGTCATTCTTCAAAGAAATAGAACAATTATTGATGAAATTCATATGGAACCACAAAAAACCCCGAATAGACAAAGCTCTCCTGAAAAAAAAAAAAAAAAAGAAGGGAATGGAGGCATCACACTCCCAGACTTCAAACTATACTACAAAGCCATAATCAGCAAAACTGCATGGTATTGGAACAAGAACAGACACACAGACCAATGGAATAGAATAGAAAATCCAGAAATAAACCCACAGATTTATGGTCAACTAATCTTTGACAATTGAGCAAAGAATATGCATTGGAGCAAAGAAAGTTTGTTCAATAAATGGTGCTGGGAAACTGGGTCGCTACATGCAAAAGAATGAAGCTTGACTACTAACTAACACCATGCACAAAAACCAACTCAAAATGGATTAAAGAACTAGACATAAGATCTGAAACCATAAAATACATAGAAGGAAATATAAGGCGAAACACTACATGATATGCACATCAAAGACATCTTTACAGATACATCACCCAAAGCAGTGATAGTGAAGGCAAAGAACAACAGCTGGGACTACATCAAATTAAATAGCTTCTGCACAGCAAAAGAGACAATAACAAAAACAAAGAGAAACCCCACTGACTGGGAGAACATTTTTGCACACAACACTAATGATAAAGGACTGATCACAAAAATCTACAAAGAGCTGATGAGACTCAACAAAAACAAAGAAAATAATCCAGTCAAAAAATGGGCAGAAGAGCTAAAAAGAAATTTCTCTGCAGAGGAAATGCAAATGGTCAACAGGCATATGAAAAAATGTTCAACATCACTTGTAATCAGGGAAATGCAAATCAAAACTACCATGAGATAACATCTCACACCAGTGAGAATGGCACATATTAAAAAAACTAGCAACAACAAATGTTGGCGTGGATGTGGAGAAAAAGGAACTCTCCTGCACTGTTGGTGGAGTGCAAATTGGTCCAACCACTATGGAGAGCTGTGTGGAGATTTCTTGACCTACTAAACACAGAGCTTCCATATGATCCAGCAATTCCACTCCTAGGTATTTACCCAGAGGACACAGAAACATCAATTCCAAAGAACACCTGCACCCCTATGTTTATAGCAGCACTATTTACAATAGCTAAGATTTGGAAACAACCCAAATGCCCAAAAATAGATGACTGGATCAAGAAGATGTGGTACATATACACTATGGAATATTACTCAGCATTCAAAAAAGATAAACACATGCAATTTGCGCAACATGGATGACACTGGAAGGGATCATGCTCAGCAAAATAAGCCAGAAAGAAAAAGAAAAAATACCGGATAGTCTCACTCATAGCAGGAATCTAGAAAACTTAAATAAGGGAATAACTATAAGAAAGAAAATATCAAAATCAACAAATAACTATGAACAAGAGACACTCTATGCGTGGTGGGGAGCAGGGAAAAGAGGGCTTGGGGTAAAAATAAGGGGGTTGTAATTGTATGGGGAATATAAAAATAAAATTTAAATTAAAAAAAAACAAATGAATGTAGAAACAGAAGCAAAAGCACCTAATTTGAACAATGAATACATTCATGTTTGGGATGAAAGTTAAAACAATTATTGGAATTATGATTATAAAAAAAAGACATACATGTTGAAAACTGTTATGATTTAGACACTAGAACCAATGAAAGTAAAAATTTGGTATGTGTCCTTGAAAAAAATAAATAAATAAATTTGCAAGAGAAAAAAAATGCTGCTGAGGATGTAGTGATAAAGGAACCCTTATTCACTGCTGGTGGGAATGCAAACTGGTCCAGCCACTCTGGACCATTATGGATCATTATGAACCACTGTGGAGTTTCCTCCAAACAAGAAAAGTGAATCTGCCGTATGACCCAGTGATTCCACTACTAAGAATCTCCCTGAAGAACATAAAAAAAAACTAATTCTAAAGGAAAACTGCACTGCTATGCTTATTGCAACCCTATTTACAATAGTTAAGAGATGGAAACAACCTAAACGCCGCATAACAGATCAAGAAGATGCAGCATATATACACAGTGGAATATTACTCGGGAATCAAAAATATTAATGCCATTTGCAGCAACATGGATGGAGCTGGAAGTGATTAGGCTAAGCAAAGTAAGAGAAATAAAGAAGTGTCAGATGGTTTCTCTTACATCTGGAATATAGAGAGACCAAGCAAAAGGTCAGCAAAAAGACAAAACTTGAAAGTTGACCATAGATCTGAGGCTTACAGCAGGAAAGAGTAAGGAGAGAAATCAAAACAGGGAAGAGGGGAGTCTCCCTGGTGGCACAAGTGGTTAAGCACAGCACTATAAAGAGATCTGCAGCCTCTGCAGCATGAGTTCTATTCCCCCTCCAACCAAGGAGCTACCCATATGGTGCAGCAGACCTCTCCCATCTTGCCCACTGCTCCCCTCAGCAGTGTTATTTCTGTCAGTCTGCCGTTCTGATCCCCACTCTGTCTCTGGTGAATCCTCTCACCCCCACCCCCCACACCTTTGGCCTGTACCCCAGTTCTTGTATGCATAAATAAATGAATCTTTAAAAAACAAAAAACAAGGAAGGGAAGAGCAAAAGGGATGGGGGAGATGGATCACGGATGCTATGGTGGTGGGAGAACTGTGGGGACTACACAGAGGGGAGGAATCAAATACTGTCCAAAATTAACAATAACTAAAGTGAAATAAAAAATGATGTCTCACACCAATAACAAAAAAATATAAAGATTTTAAAATGTGGTAATATGTGTGTGTGTGTGTGTAACCACACATGCTATGGAATAATATTCAGGTATTTTTTTTTTTTAAAGGATAAACTCTTTCTTTTTCTTTTGTGACAACATGACCTGGAGGACATATTCTAGTGAAATAAGTGAAAAGGAGAAAGTCAAATACAGGATGATTTCATTTATATGCAGAAAATAGAGAAACAAAACAAAATCTCAGTAACTAAACCAAAACTAACTCTTGACATCTGACTGCAGAACTAAGGCTTCTAGAGGGCAAGAAATGGTGGGGGTAGGGTTAGGGGATAGGGCAATGGACTAGGGCAAAGGACTATGGGTGCTGTGATGACTGGAGTGGTGTAGTAACATAAATCTGAGGAGGTGTGAATCGAAACCAATGTACATGATTGTGTTTCCACTTGAAGTAGAAAGAAAAGGGTGTGTGTTACAACTTGGTGATGAATTACAAATTTACATTAAACAGTCAGATAAGTCTTGATTATTTTTCCTGAAATAAAATTAAGATCATAAAATTTGATATATAAATATGTAAATCATTTGAACTTAAAGTAAATATCTAAGCATAATGATATCTTTAACCACATAATCTTTCTTTACATCTATCTAATAGATAGAGACACTGTTCTATTTATTTGTCCCTGTACTTTGAGAGATATGGTTCACTTTACAACAATATGTATTCGAAAAGAAAGGACCAGATGAATCCAGGGCCACCTGTGAAGGAAGGTGGCGTTTACCATACATTACCTATGCATGTTTTCTCATCTGTATCAAGCTGGTGTCCACGGTTACAAAAACAGCGGGGCCCCCCAATTGCATGTTCACAGTGATGGGAACAACCACCATTGTTCTTTTCACAGCTATTGACAATTTCCAATTCAATTCCTTTATAAAACAAGCAAAAAAAATAGTTATTAGCATAACAACAGGGAAATCTGAATATGTTGACAATGGGCACATTTTGTTGGGAGGATGGCAAACTTTATTGGAAATTTACCAGCATTCTACAGCTATAAAAGCAAAAGTCTAAAGGCTATTAAGCATTTTTAATGTCTGTGCTATATCAAATTATCACAAATAATGTTATCGATAAACTTGAAGCAGAAAGGTATGGTATACACCAGTGGCTACTAAAGGACTTATTCTAAAGGATGTTTACCTCTAGGGATTCTTGGTATTTTCAGGACATAAAAATATACATGTATTGAATCAAAGATGAGAAAACAAATAAGGTTTTTTGACAGGAGATAGTTCTGTTCTCAATATAATGCTACTTTATTATCTACCCCTTTTGAAGATTATGAGTACATGAAAATACTCCTAAAAAAAAAATAGGTGGACCAAACGGATGAACACAAGACCAATGGAGGGACTTACTATTACACTATTGCTTTGAAAACCTATTTGCCAATCTTGGTACATGCCACTCTTATTCGGCATTTGCTGGGGAACATCAGCCTCAGAATATGAATGCCAATTGTCTTGAACCCAGAAGCATTATAATCATTTACTTTCTAAGTGAGTAACTGAAAATTAAAAGACAGCTTTGTGTCAATGTCAAAAATGTGGAATTTTGATACTTGTATTATTGTCACCCCGGCCACTGACATTCTGCATTTGCGTTGCTTGGACATGCCTCTTCAAAATGAGAGTTTCTACCTTGTTTCACTCCTATACATTTATAACTAAGGAATTCATTGGAAGAAGAAAGACGGAAATGAACAGGGCAAGGTTACATGGATTTCCAGCACTCCTGAGAGCATATATAGCCATTCAAACTGTCTGAGTAGGTACAGCATAGAACTCATCCTCCCTGGGGCTGCCTGGTGGCACAAGGGTTAAGTTAAGCACAACACTATGAAGCTATCCTTGGGATTCTGCAGCACGAGTATGATCCCAAGTCTGCCAGCTCCCTGCCCATATGGCATGGCAGACCTCTCTTGGCTCACCCACTGCTCCCTCAGCAGTGCTTTCAGTACTTCTGCCTATTCTGCTCCCCACTCTGTCTCTGGTGAATCCTCTCACCCACCCCCTACACCTCTGGCCTGTACTCCAGTTCTAGAGCGCATAAATAAATAAATAAATCTTAAAAAAACCCTCATCTTCCCTGCCCTCAGCCATTGAGCATGCAGCCCTCCATGCTCCCAGCATACATCCCAGTCCTTTTTTTCCTCCCTTGCTGCTGTCATCATCCTATTACTACCTAGTTCATAACAGATGTTCAAAAATAGGTTTGGAATGTTTGAATAAATGAAAGAATTATGCAAATCAATTATTGTCAAAAATAAGAACTTCTTTGGGTTTGGAAACAGCTAGTTTAGGATTGAGCAAAATTTGAAAGTGAAGGAAAGACTGAAATACTGAAAGGGATTGATATTTTTCACAATATGTTTACATATACTCGGTAGGAGAGACATTTCAAATTTTAGCTTCTACTCTTGTTCTCTTCCTCTGATCAAAGTGTTCCAAGACTGCTGGTTGGTGATTTAATTTGCATATAAATGATACTGTGGTAACCCCAATAAAAATATATGACACTTAAAATAGGGAATGCACAGATCTACAATATCTACAAAGTAAGCTGAGATATAACATCCTTGATTCAGATGTTTGACTAATGTTTAAACATCTTATTTTTCAAAAAATAGTATCTATATTTTTAAAAAAGAATCAATCGTTTTAGTTTCTTTTTTTAATTCATTTATTTATACAAGAGATGGGGTACAAGCCAGATGTGCAGGGGTACAAGCCAGATGTGCACCAGAGACAGAGCGGGGAACAGAACAGGCAGACTGATGAAGTACACTGCTGAGTGGAGCAGCGGACACGACAGGAGAGGTCTGCCACGCCATGTGGGACTATCGCTGGCCGGCCAGGATCGAATCCATGCTGCAGAGGCTGTGGACAGCTTCACAGCACGACGCTCAACCATCTGTGCCACCAGGGAGGCCCCATTTTAGTTTCTTATAAGCAGCAAACAATCATCATGTACTTGATATGTTAAATGACTATATAATTTTGGGTACATTTTAATTAATCATTATGGATCTGAAATTTTCCATGTTCTAGTCACAAAATAGTGGCAGTAACTCAGTTTATTAGAAAGTGTTTTAAGAAACTTTGAGAAGAAATTATATAAATATAAAATATTTTTCATAAGAAAAGATTAAACAAGTATCATCATAAAATGAACTTGAAATATGAAGGATTCATATGTAATATAACCTAAAATTACCCAGTAAACATTTCTGTGCTCTGAGAATATTTACTCCAACTACAGTTTTTTTTTAATTATTTATTTATGCATACAAGAACAGGGTATAGGCCATTGGTGTAGGGGTTGAGAGGATTCACCAGAGACAGAGTGGGGAGAAGAACAGGCAGGCTGAGTGAACATTGCTGAGGCAAACAGCAGGTGAGACAGGAGAGGTCTGCTGCACCATGTGGGTTGCTCCCTGGCCATCGGGGGATAGAACCTGTGCTGCAGTGGCTCAATGTAGCTTCCATAGGTTGTGTCTTAACCTCTTGCACCATCAGGGAGTCTCTCCAACTACAGGTTTTGAAGCAACTCAAAATGCCCATTTTCACCAAGAAAGTTTTGTATGTGATTCAGTAAATTTTGAAGTCTGGTGAGGACTACAAAAAGAACTTAGCTAAATATGCACATAAGGGAAAGAAACTTTAAAGTACGCTTCTACCAAATGTGCTCAACTCTAGAACAAGGAAATTCTACAAAGTCTGCTCCTCATAACTCATTAGCAGTGACGATCCCCTAGTTCATGAAAACACTTAGATTGCAAGAGATTTTATTTCAGATATTTATAAAATGTACTCATCTCCTAAACTTCTGCTCACATTAGAAAGTCAAAATATTAATAAGAATGAAAACCCATCCATATTTATCTCTGCCTGAAATGACTCCTGAGGGCATTGAAAGACTGACTTGAGAGGAAATTGTAACTTAATTAGTAGTTAATTCTTCTCTCCCATACTATTTAGTTTCCTCTTGAAAAGACAAATACCACCACAGCAAAACTGCACTTTCATTAAGCAGTAGAAATATGCCAACAGATCTTAAGGCTACACCGGAAATCCAAGCCTTTAGGGAACATAGAATTTGATGTAGTGGAGTGAATAAAGAATTTAGTGACCCTAAGAATGTCTCTTCACGAGGGTGTTTAGATAAGGGCACACAATTATTTATTCATTTATCACCTTATCTTTATTCTTCCTTGATTAAAACTGATAAGGGGCCTCCCATGTGGCGCAGCGGTTGAGCTCTGGGTTGCGAAGCTGCCCGCAGCCTCTGCAGCACCAGTTCGACCCCCGGCCACCACCAGGCGAGGGTTCCACATGGCGCGCAGACCTCTCCTGCTGCCCACTGCTCCCCTCAGCCGTGTACTTCGTCATTCTGCCTGCTCTACTCCCCGCTCTGGCTCTGGTGAATTCTCTCACCCTCCCGCACTTCTGACTGTACCCAGTGCTTGTATAAATAAATAAATAAAATCTTTAATAAAAAAATAAAACTGATAAGAAGATACAATGATGAAGTTGAAAGTATAATGTATTTCATGCCTAATCATCCTTGTTTGAGTCCCAGTTCTTTTTTTTTTTTTTTAAAGATTTTTTTTAAAATTTTATTTATACAAGAGCCAGGGTGGTTACAGGCTAGATGCGTGAGAGGGTGAGAGGATTCACCAGAGACAGAGCGGGGAACAGAACAGGCAGGTCAAACAAAGTACACTGCTGAGGGGAGCAGCGGGCGAGACAGGAGAGGTCTGCTCGCCATGTGGGTTCCTCCAAGGCCGGCGGGGATCGAACTGGCACCAAAGAGGCTACGGACAGCTTCACAGCACTGCACTCAACCGCCTGCGCCACCAGGGAGGCCCAAGTCCCAGTTATGACAATTTTATGTCAATTGTTCACTTATTTATTTAGATTTATTTTTTATTTATACAATAGCTGGGGTACAGGCCAGAGGCACGGGAGGGCGAGAGGATTCACCAGAGACAGAGTGGGGAGCAGAACAGGCAGACAGACCAAAAGCACTGCTGAGGGGTGTAGCAGGTGTGACAGGAGAGGTCTGTGGCACCATGTGGGAATCTCCCTGGCTGGCCAGGAATTGAAGCAGCACTACAGAGGCTGCGGACAGCTTCACAGCGCTTCGCTCAACCCACTGCACCACTGGGGAGGCCCTGTCATTTTTTTTTTTTTTTTAATTTTTAAAGGATTTGAGTATTTTTTTTTTTTTGAAGATTTATTTATTTTTATACAAGAACTGGGGTACAGGCCAGGTGCATGGGAGGATGGAAGGATTCACCTGAGACAGAGCAGGGAGCAGAACAAGCAGACTGACGAAATACACTGCTGAGGGGAGCAGTGGACGAGACAGGAGAGGTCTGCTTCCACAGGTGGGATTCTCGTCGGACGGCCGGGATCAAACCAGCACTGAAGAGGCTGCGGACAACTGTACAGTGCGGGCTCAACCGGCTGTGCCACCAGGGAGGCCTCCGGTCAATGTTTTTTTCTAATTCAACACTGAATGGTTGGTTGACTAAGATGTGGAGAACTGGAGACTACAAATCAGTAGGTTTGTTTTGAACCTATCATATTTATAATGCCTTTCAGTCAAGAAATGGAGATGTTGAATACATACTTTGACATATTCATATGTAAAGGAAGGAGAGAAGCAGAAAAAAATATTTGACATTGAGAAGGGGCCAGAGATAGAGAGAAAAATGAGGAAAGTGCGAAAATATGGAAGAGAAGAAAGAGTTTTAAAAAGAATATGAATAGGGCCTCCCCTGGTAGCGCAGCGTGTTGAGTGTGGCGCTGTCTAGCTGTCCACAGCCTCTGCAGTGCTGGTTTGATCCCGGCAGGCCAGCAAGGGTCCCACATGGTGCGGCAGACCTCTCCTGTCTTGCCCGCTGCTCCTCTCAGCAGTGTATTTCAGTAGATCTGCCTGTTCTGCTCCCCTCTCTGTCTCTGGTGAATCTGGCCTGTACCCCTGTTCTTGCATGCATGCAAGATTCATTTATGTATGTATGTATGCATAAATATATAAATATGCATGCATAAATACATACATACATACATAAATGAATCTTTTTTTAAAAAAAAGAATATGAATAGTCAACTGTGTTGAAAACATGAGAGTCAAGCATACAACTAAAGAAGTTAATGTGTAATCTGGCAATATGGAGCTGATGGGTGACATAGAGGGGACAACTGGAAATCTGTTTAGTTTGGCATGGTGAGAGGTGAGGAGGAAGAAACACTGATTAAGTTATCAACATTTGCTGTACAGGCGATAAGATGAATCTTTAGTAGACTGTCGGCTCCTAAGGGATACTTTAAGATAGCAGATTAAGAATCATGTTGATGTGCTGATGATAATGGTCCATCATATAATTGTAATAGCAAAGATATTTAGATGATAAATGAGAATGGAATCCAAAGTATAACGAGTAATGACCTTTGATATTTATAAGAACACTTTCCTCATATTAACAGAAGTGAAAGCTTTTCTTAAGATTCTATGGAACGGTTTGGGTCAATTACTAGTTTGGGTGGTAATTTGCACCCATTTCATTGATAACTTAAGAGACAAGTTAAAGAAAAAGGCCAATAGGGGACTGATAGAAAAATTTAGAAGAGAAAAAGATGTTAAACTTCATTTTGGTGAGGATGAATGTAAACATATTCTGAATGTACAGCTTTGTCTGGATGTGCTGCTTAACCATTTGCCATTTATGATTCTGTATTTAAAGTAAAATAGTGTGGCTGTGTTTAAACACAAAAAAATTTACCTGCTGGGACTCCCTTGTGGCGCAAGGGGTAAACACAGCACTGTGAGGCTATCCACAACCTCTGCAGCAGACCTACCCACATGGTGCAGCAGACCTCTCCTGACTGGCCACTGCTCCCCTCAGCAGTGTACTTCAGTCATTCTGCCTGTTCTGTTCCCCACTCTGTCTCTGGTGAATCCTCTCACCCCCTACACCTCTGTCCTGTACCCCAGTTCTTGTATGAATAAATCTTTTTTTTTAAAGATTTATTTATTTATTTGTTTATTTATGTAAGCACTGGGTACAGTCAGAAGCGCGGGAGAGTGAGAGAATTCACCAGAGCCAGAGCGGGGAACAGAACAGGCAGACTGACGAAACACACTGCTGAGGGGAGCAGTGAGCACGGCAGGAGAGGTTTGCACGCCATGTGGGACCCTTGCAGGCGGCCAGGATCAAACTGGCACTGCAGAGGGTCGAACCCGCACTGCAGAGGCTGCGGGCAGCCTCGCAGCCCAGCGCTCAACCACTGTGCCCCCAGGGCAGCCCAATAAACAAATCCTTTAAAAAAAAATTACTTGCTAAGAAATAAAGTGGAGAAAGGAGGCAGGGAGTCCCTGAAATTAAGGATCTGAACGTGGAGAAGAAACATGAATAGTTGATATACAATGATAACATAAATCAGCGAAAGAAATGAAAAAAGATCTTATTCTATCATTTGTAAAATGAGAAAAGCAGCGGATGGGTGAGGATGGGGAATACTGAGATAGAGAACATGGAACTTGAGGGAATTTGTTACAGATAGTTTTAAATTTAGTGTGAAGTAGAAAAGTGTATTCATCTACAGATTAAGCAGAGAACCAGAGGGAAGATATGAGTGAATAAAATAGCTGCAATTGTTTTTAATAGCACCTAATGATTCAGCATAATTACATTTTAATATATTCCTAACAAGGTATATATTAAATTGTTTAACTGATCTTACATGAGGAAGAAGCTAAGGCTAGGATTACTTGGGCATCATTTTTTAAAAGAAAATAAGTAGAGGGATGATTTGGTGAAAGATAATACAAAGTTGGGAGCAGATGTTAAAACGGTGTTATTGAAGTGAATATAAATGTTGGGGGGGTGGTGGCAAGGGCTAGCCTGGAAGATCTCCCTAAAGCATCCAACCTGCCCGATATGATACTATAATCCAGAGCTGTTCATTACACTTCCCGACTGCTAGGTTCCTTTCTTGGGCCTTTGCATGTGATTTATAGTGTTCACTAAATTTTGCACTGCAGAGTGATGAGGGAAGTCCGACTCTCCCCCGAGTTCATGAGCTACAAGTCACAAGACATGAGACTAAGTCCTTGCCATTTGCACGAAAACCTTGCTTAGTTCTAGTAATGGGTGCACCATGCCAATCATTTAATCATTTTCTGTTGACTCTGGGCCCCTGTTTCCTCACATTAAAATGAAAAGATTGTATTTCTAAGCACCCACTCTTACCTGTCCCCAGAATAAATATTTTCAGGAGTTTCTGCTTTGGCAATGTAGTCAACATCAGTGTCTTTCTTTTGTTTATTATTCTTGTTTAATACTTGTAAAATGCAACACATTTTCTGGGCTGCAATTGTTAGCACTTACTGTAACACTGTTTTCCATCAGCTCCCAGCTCAAAGCCAGCTCGGCAGGCACAAATGAAAGATCCCTCAGTGTTCACACAGTGATGGCTGCAGTGAGCAAGGCCTTCAGCACACTCGTTTATGTCTGCAGAAAAAGACACACAGCAGCTATATTCTTGGAAGCCACACAGAGATTTATTTGTAAACTATGAAAATGAACTAAAGCATACCTCTCTTCTTCAATCCCAGACATCCATTTTAACATAAAAGACCACATAGGCTCCAGTTGCAAATAAACCAACTGTTAGTAACTTTAATTCTATTATTGTCTTATACTCTCAAATATGTTTTTCTGTTTTTTAGAACTTACTAGTATCTATTAATTGGAAGAAAGAAAACAATGCAACAACAACAACAACAACAACAAACTTGTATGCCCCCTAATGAAAGAGGTTGAAACCATTGGCATTTGTCTTTAGGAATATGCATCACATTGTAAACCTCCTCCCCTCCCATGATAGCTACTTGATTTAAGGTTGATAATACTTGTGGCCATAGACAGGGCAGAGCTGGTGCTTTCCTATGTACCAGTTCACAGTGTATATTTTACAGACAAATGCCACGGGGCAGTGCCCTTTAAATATGTGCATCTTTTCCGTCTTGACACTGATAACTACTATGTTCAGTATAAATAACTTTGTGTCACAGGTAATCCTATGCTCCTTCCCTTTTTATGGGGAGCTCTATCATCATCCTCTCAACATTTGTCCTCCTGGTACCATTCTGCACATCATCTCTACCAAGGCACTTCTGAGAAATACTCATTTTTAGGGTATTTGTAAGAACCTAAGCAGGCAATAATTGGGGACTTTGACTTTCTAGGAACAATGAATCAGCTATTGAAATAACAGTTTGAAAGAGAAGAGATCTGTATAGATACAGATATATTTGCCAATTTTCAATAAATATTTAATAAGATCCTGTTCTATACCGGGTGGAGTAGGCAGGTGCTAAGTAAACGGAGGACCAAAGCCAGAAGTGTCCTCTGCTAAAAAAAAAAAAAAAAAAAAAGAAAAGAAAAGTATGTAAACAAAGTCCACAGAAAATTGTAGCTTAGTTAAAGCATAATAATAGTATGTCTATTGTTTTCAATTTCTCAACTGTATCAGTGTCATAAATCAGGAAACATTTTCATCACTAATCCAAATCAACTGTTTCTCATTTTCTTATGAAAATTTCATGGTAAAAATGAAGTCTATGATATCTCAGAAGTTATGAAAGCAAAAACAAAGGGGTGACTTTAGTCCCAGTCATGCAATAGCCATGGGGAGCCATTGAATTGAAGTGTGTATATTTTGCTATTTTTAAGAAACAGAAACATATAGCCTTGTATTTATAGCTTCTTTCTAAAGTTTTAATTGTTCCTAGCTTCTGAGAACTCTCATTTGCACATACTTGATTTTTCAAAGGTTATCTCCACCTTCTACAGGGTATAATAAAAAATTTCCTTCTGCAGTTATAGGAGGTTTTGAAATATTAATTCTAGAATTCACTTCAGAATGAGAAACAGAAAACAAAAGGCATTAATTTTGAAAATTGTTATTGTAACTAAAATTTTCACTGAATGTTTACAGTATAAAAAATAACTTTCAGAATGATCAAATAAAAATTTGAAAGCTCCTTTTTAAACATAAATTAACATACCTTTCCTCTAGCTGTTCTATTAAAAACTGAATTACCACAAAATTCAAACAATTACACAATTAAGCTATCAGTTTCCACTTCCTACCTCCACAGGCCTTTTTGTCTTCAGACAGCTGGTACCCTGGGTGACAGGCACACCTGGCGATGCCACTCTCACTCTGACAGATGTGGGCGCATCCATTCCCACCTGTGCAGGGGTTCATCTCTGGAAGCAATTAGGCAGTAATTATTTATAATTCATTAACTTTATGAAGTTACACAGAGTGGAAGTGTGAAGAAAGGTAAAGATGGAAGAGGGCCATTGTGTATCTCACATAAAGTTGGTAAGGATTCCAGAAAGAACTTTCCCACTTTCAGATGGAACTAATTCAACAAAAAGCCCCCATTTTGTGTTCTAAACTGCAAAATTTGAACAAATCTTTTTTTCATAATTTATTTATACGTATTTTACATCATTGAACAATGATGTAAAAGTGTTTGCTTTCTTTTCTCAAGTGTAGTCCCCATAAACTCTCCACTACCAATTCACCCATGCAAAACAACATGGATACAGAACAAGGAAGAATTAGTTTAACCTCAAGTTACCCAAATGTGTTATCTGATGCCCAAAGTTAGAGTCAGCATGACTCCTCTCACACCTTTGCATTTTCTCCCAGACCCATCTTTCCACTCCCTTTAACAGTAAAATCATACTCAGATAAACCATTTACTTCCTATAGGTCCCTTCTGCCTTTGGATAAGCAAACATGGTATGAGGAGAAGGCAGAGAGGAGAGACATGGAACAGTCTGAGCTATAGCTGCTGTCATGTGGAATAAACATGTTCTGATCACACTGGAATGAAGTCAGCTCGTTTCACTGTTGGGTCTTAGCCATCCATATTACCTATTACCTGAAGTCCAAAGCATTGTGAAGCCACATAGTTTATCAGGCAGTGTTTATTTGTCAAATTTATGTATTAATTTTAATCTATGTGTATTCAGACTTGTCTGCATTATATGCTGCTAGATTAGTGCTGCAGAATTTCTACACTTGACCCTCTCCATACCTTATTTTTTTGTTGGAATACAGAGACTGTAAATACCAAAAACAATATATAATGCCACCCTGTCTCACATTCAGTTTCAACCCAACGATTACTATACAAAAATGCTTTCATTCGTTTCTAGTGAATCCTTCCAGGTATTCTTTATAAATATATGAATGATGGTAGTGATATTTATAATTAGTGTATTCAGTACATACATATATATATTAGCTTTTAGCTGTGGGTTTTCATAGTTTCTGCTTATTAGGTCAAAGAGGTACTTTTCCTTTTTCAGGAAAAAGTGTTGGATTTTGTCCTTTTCCCCCACACTTATTGAGATATGCATGAACTTGGCCCTTTATTCTACTGATTTGGTGTATTACATTAATTGATTTTCAGATGTCAAAACAACATTGCTTTCCTAAATAAATCCTACTTGATCATATCTTCATTATTTTCCCACAGGTTAAGTGAAAGATGTTGACCTGCACAGTCATATTTATATCATAAAATTAAGTTTTTAAATCCATGTCTCCTATTACTAGCTCTCAAGACAATTAGATACGTAAATTTCTCTGAACTTTGAAAAGTTGTGGTCAATGCCACCAGATGCAAGATTGCAAATTACATTGCAATCATCTTTAACTGTCTCATCATTGATCAATATCTCTGGGAATTTCTCTAAGTTTATTTAAATACCTCTTTCCCTTAGCACTTCTTGATGCCCAATTTCTGCAGCTATGAGGGATTATTCTACAAGTCTGACTATTACGAAAAGATCCTTGTGTTTTTTAGATCGATTATTATAACTTTGAACTTAACCCATATGGATTGGGCATAGAGGAACTATAAAATAAAAACTTCTATAATGAAACATTTGGTTGTAAACTTACAGCTCTATTTTCAGCTACAGATCACAGGTGAACATTTGATAGTAACATGTGAGACACAAATGATATTTTCAATCCAGAGTCTAATGCTTCTTTTGTGTAGAAATAAAGGGCACTGATCTTTACATAGAACATGTAAATGGAGTCTGTTAAAATTTGGCTTGCGACTCTGTAAGAGGAATCATTACTGGGCTTCCCTCTTACAATAAACAATTAAGAAACTAGATAAAAATGCATGAAGCAACTCTGTAGATATTTGGCAACAGGCAGGACAACAATGGGAATGTTGAATGAAGAAGAACAAAGTAAGATAAAATGACAGCTTGGGTTTGTTTTTGTTGGAAGAATGTTCTGTATTACAGCACAAGAAAGAAACCAAATGAGAGCTCAATGAACCTGTTAATTGAAGAGATACCCTGAAGTTCATGATTATCAAGAAAACTAGAATTTGCAAAAAGCTACAAAGGAGGGGGGAATAGTATGACACAGAGAAAAAAAAAAATCAGGAATCTGTAGAATGATACTCTTGAAACTTTGACTAAATACTACTCAAAATATACATAGTAAATTTTTCCATAAGGCCAGGCAAAGAATAATACACTGGAAAGAAAAATAAGAACATCTTTTCTGGAGGTCATAAGGACCAGGAATCAATTTTCTGCAGATTACAAAAATACCATGGAATGCATGGGACATTCAGTAATGATCCCAAAAGACCCATAGCTCTGTATTAGTGGTAATATAACCCCAAACTAAAGTCTACTGTAGACTTATCCTTAAAGCAATGAGCGAGGAGGAATGACAAGTATATCGGGGGGGGGAGGGGGGTGTCAAATAATAGAAAGCTTCTCATCAGAAAGCAGAAAGAAGTGACAAGATTTTTAAAATGGGGCCTGCACGGTGGTGCAGCGGGCTGAGTGCAGTGCTGTGAAGCTGCCCGCAGCCTCTGCAGTGCCGTTTCGATCCCAGCTTGCCAGGGAGATTCCCACATGGTGTGGCAGACCTCTGTTTCGCCCGCTGCTCCCCTCAGCAGTTTATTTCATCAGTCTGTCTGTTCTGTTCCCCGCTTTGTCTCTAGTGAATCCTCTCACCCTCCTGCACATCTGGCCTGTATCCTGACTTTTTCATAAATAAAATAAATCTTAAAAAAAAAAAACACTTTAATTCTAAAAAAATGATAGTACAGTTAGATAAGTTACCTATACATAATGAACACCTAGAGAAACCAGTTAAAAAGTTAAGTAAATTGATACACTCAAAACTGTTATAAAGAGAACAAAATGGAATTCTTAAATAATGTTAAAGTAACCCTCAGGAAGTCAAGAAAAAATACAGTAAAATTTCCGCAATTGAGAAGTTGATTATCAAATATGACTCAATTACATACTGTCTACAGGAAACTCACTCCAAATATAAGCAAGTCATGCAAATTTTACATATATATATGTGAGTGTGTGTATTTATTTATTTAAATGTATCAAGCATATATCAACCAACAGAACACAGAGTGGATATATTAATATCAGATAAAATATGCCTATAGCAAAGAATATTTTAAAAAAATAAAAAGACAGAAAATTTAGAAAAATTAAAATCAAACATGTGCTCTCTAATCATAATGAAATCAACTCACAAATGAGTATTATAGGAAATTCTCCAAACAAATGGAAACTAACCAAGACCCAGCTTCGATGTAATGTGTGGGCTAAAGAGGAAGTCTCAAGGAAAGAGGAAACTTTGTAATATAACATTATAGTTTTTATTTATTTATGTAAAAAATTTATTTATTTATTTATTTATTTATTTATTTATTTGTTTATTTATTTATTTATTTATACAAGCACTGGGTAGTCAGAAGCGCGGGAGGGTGAGAATTCACCAGAGCCAGAGCGGGAAGCAGAACAGGCAGAAGGACCGAAGTACACTGCTGAGGGGAGCAGCGGGCGGCAGGAGAGGTCTGTGCACCATGTGGGACCCTCCTCCAGTGGCTGGGAGCAGCTGGGGATCTAACTGGCACTGCAGAGGCTGCGGGCAGCTTCGCAACCCAGCGCTCAACCGCTGCACCACTATAATGTGAGCAGGTCCCACATTATAGTTTTTAAAATGTCACCATTGGGGCCTTCCAGGTGGCAGAGCGGTTGAGTGCTGGGTTGCGAAGCTGCCCGCAGCCTCTGCAGTGCCGGTTCAATCCCCGGCCACCAGGTGAGGGTCCCACATGGCACTCAGACCTCTCCTGCCACCCACTGCTCCCCTCAGCAGTGTATTTCATCAGTTTGCCTGTTCTACTCTCCGCTCTGGCTCTGGTGAATTCTCTCACCCTCCCGGCCTTCTGACTGTACCCAGTGCTTGTATAAATAATAAATAAATCTTTAAAAAAAAGAAAATTTAAAATGTCACCATTGGGTGAAACTGGATGTGGGCCTATGTGCTCTCTCTACATTATTTATTTTGTAAAGATTTATTTATGTATGCATACAAGAATTAGGCTAAAGGCCAGAAGTACGGGAGGTGAAAGGATTCACCAGAGAGAGTGGGAAGCAGAACAGGCAGACTGACCCTGACCGAAATACACTGCTGAGGGGAGTCTGCTGAGCCATGTGGGTAGCTCCCTGGCAAGCCGGGATCGAACCCATGCCCCAGAGGCTGCCGACAGCCTCACATAGCTGTGCTTAACCCCTTGTACCACCAGGGAGACCACTACATTATTATTATAAAACTGCACGTGAATCTAAAAAGAGCTCAAAAGAAAAATGTTTAATTAAAAAAAACGGAGTAGCGGCCTTCCCTGGTGACAAAGGTGATTGAGTGCAGTGCTGTGAAGCTGTCCACAGCCTCTGCAGTGCATGTTTGATTCCCAGCTGGCTGGCGAGAATCCCACATGGCGCAGCAGACCTCTCCTGCCTTGCCCGCTGCTCCCCTCAGCAGTGTATTTCGTCAGTCTGCCTGTTCTGTGCCCCACTCTGTCTCTAGTGAATCCTCTCACCCTCCTGTGCATCAGGCCTGTGCCCCGGTTCTTGTATGCATGAATAAATAAGTCTTTAAAAAAAAGTAGTTATTAAAAAAAAAAAAAAACGGAGTAGTAGGAACACAAATGAGCAGAGTTTCAGTGTGCACTAGGAAAACATAAGAAACAAAACAAAACATGTAACTGGAAAGTGAGAAACATACAAGAAAGGGAAATTATAAAAAAGGTGGAGAAATAGTGACCAGATATTTTTCAAATTAGATGAAATTTCAAATGCAACTTACATGTCCAAGAATCTCAATGTGTTTATCAAGTAGGATAAAC